TAGTCTATAGTCTAGTCTATAGTCTAGTCTATAGTCTAGTCTATAGTCTAGTCTATAGTCTAGTCCTATGTCTAGTCTATAGTCGAGTCATATCTAGTCTATAGTCTAGTCTATAGTATAGTCTATAGTCCTAGTCTAATAGTCTAGTCCTTAAGTCAGTCTATAGTCTAGTCTATGTCTAGTCTATAGTCTAGTCTATGTCTAGTCTATAGTCGAGTCTATAGTCTAGTCTAATATCTAGTCTATAGTCTATTCTATAGGCTAAGTCTATAAGTCTAGTCTATAGTCTATCTATAGTTCTAGTCTATAGTCTAGTCTATAGTCCTAGTCTATAGTCTAGTCTATAGTCTATTCTATAGTCTAGTCTATAGTTAAGTCTAGTCCTATAGTCATCTATAGTATAGTCTAATAGTCAGTCTATAGTCTATCTTAGTCTAGTCTATAGTCTAGTCTATAGTCTAGTCTATAGTCTAGTCTATAGTCTAGTCTATAGTCTAGTCTATAGTCTAGTCTATAGTCTAGTCTATAGTCTAGTCTATAGTCTAGTCTATAGTCTAGTCTATAGTCTAGTCTATAGTCTAGTCTATAGTCTCTCTATAGTCTAGTCTATAGTCTAGTCTATAGTCTAGTCTATAGTCTAGTCTATAGTCTAGTCTATAGTCTAGTCTATAGTCTAGTCTATAGTCTAGTCTATAGTCTAGTCTATAGTCTAGTCTATAGTCTAGTCTATAGTCTAGTCTATAGTCTAGTCTATAGTCTAGTCTATAGTCTAGTCTATAGTCTAGTCTATAGTCTAGTCTATAGTCTAGTCTATAGTCTAGTCTATAGTCTAGTCTATAGTCTAGTCTATAGTCTAGTCTATAGTCTAGTCTATAGTCTAGTCTATAGTCTAGTCTATAGTCTAGTCTATAGTCTAGTCTATAGTCTAGTCTATAGTCTAGTCTATAGTCTAGTCTATAGTCTAGTCTATAGTCTAGTCTATAGTCTAGTCTATAGTCTAGTCTATAGTCTAGTCTATAGTCTAGTCTATAGTCTAGTCTATAGTCTAGTCTATAGTCTAGTCTATAGTCTAGTCTATAGTCTAGTCTATAGTCTAGTCTATAGTCTAGTCTATAGTCTAGTCTATAGTCTAGTCTATAGTCTAGTCTATAGTCTAGTCTATAGTCTAGTCTATAGTCTAGTCTATAGTCTAGTCTATAGTCTAGTCTATAGTCTAGTCTATCTAGTCTATAGTCAGTCTATAGTCTAGTCTATAGTCTAGTCTATAGTCTAGTCTATAGTCTAGTCTATAGTCTAGTCTAGTCTATAGTCTAGTCTATAGTCTAGTCTAGTCTATAGTCTAGTCTATAGTCTAGTCTATAGTCTAGTCTATAGTCTAGTCTAGTCTATAGTCTAGTCTATAGTCTAGTCTAGTCTATAGTCTAGTCTTAGTCTAGTCTATAGTCTAGTCTATAGTCTAGTCTATAGTCTAGTCTATAGTCTCTGTCTATAGTCAGTCTAGTCTATAGTCCTAGTCTATAGTCTAGTCTAGTCTATAGTCTAGTCTATAGTCTAGTCTATAAGTCTAGTCTATAGTCTATTATAGTCTAGTCTATAGTCTAGTCTATAGTCTAGTCTATAGTCTAGTCTATAGTCTAGTCTATAGTCTAGTCTATAGTCTAGTCTATAGTCTAGTCTATCGTCCAGTCAAGGCTATCATCTAGTCTATAGTCCAGTCAAGGCTATCGTCTAGTCTATGATGTGTATAGCCTATGGTCTAGTCTAATGTTATTTCTATGGAGAAATAACTTTTTGAATTACACTCCTATAAACACTGAGAGAAGAACCACACTTCGGTGGAAGCTTTTTTTGTTCAGTATTGCAAATTGTCATGAGTGTATGTTTTTTGCCAGCATGAATGTACATACGTGTTTGTGTATGCCTAAATGTGTAGCATATGTGCAGGGGTTTGCTTTTTTGTGCATTAAACTTTAACTGCACAACAATTTTGTTAAACAAACTAAACAACAAATTACTCAGATACACACACACACACTCCCAAACAAACAAACATGCAATTACAACTTTATACCTAGAGCTAGAACTTTTTGTGTACAAGCACAAACAACATATTGCCACGTTATTGAAAACATAAAAATAAAATATTTATTTTGAAACAGTTTTACCCACTGTGCAGTACGGTAAATCTAGTGCAAAAGGGAAATGAGCGTAAAAAGGAAACAAAAAACGAAAACATGTTGACTCGTTAATAAGGGGTGGTTTGTGTGTTGTATGTGAGTGTTTTTGTTTATTTATTTATGTGTCGGTCTGTTCCACCGTCTGTCTGTCTATATGCAAGAGACATAAAATTCACTGGAAAAAAAGGGGATGTTTGTTGTTTAAGTATTAGTGTTTCCATATATTTAACAGGACTCCATGTAGGTTTGTTTGTATTCTTACAACTTCAAAAAGTTCGTTTCTTTTTTCATTCAAAATAAAAACAAATTTATAAAACAAAGTTTTTCTACGCTGATGGCAGCCTTACCACCACCATGATGAGTCATAGTATTTTCTGTTTATTTTGTTGTATTTTTATGTTTTAGTACCTGGAAAATGTGAAAACATTAAGGTAAAGTTTATAGTAGACGTAGTAAATATCTGGGCATGTTGAAATTTGAGTATATTTATATGTTTGTTAGCGTTTTATTTATTTTTTCTTTTTACTAATGATTTCCTAAAATACAATGTTTGTGTTGAGAGTAATTTAGTGTTGTTTTCCTTGCTGCATTTCATGTTTTTGCCGATTTGTGTTTTGCATGTATGAATATTTTTAAACATTATTTGCGTGTAGATTTTTTTGCGAATCCTATTATATTTAATAGGTTTTCTTTAGCAATTTCCGAAAATTAAGAACTGAACATGAACTGAACTAGAAATGAACTAGAAACTAAACTAGAACTGAACTAGAACTGAACTAGAACTGAACTAGAACTGAACTAGAACTGAACTAGAACTGAACTAGAACTGAACTACTAGAACTGAACTAGACACTGAACGAGAACTGAACTAGAACTGACTAGAACTGAACTAGAACTGAACTAAACTGAACGAGAACTGAACTAGAACTGAAACTAGAACTGAACTAGAACTGAACTAGAACTGAACTAGAACTGAACTAGAACTGAACTAGAACTGAACTAGAACTGAACTAGAACTGAACTAGAACTGAACTAGAACTGAACTAGAAGAACTAGAACTGAACTAGAACTGAACTAGAACTGAACTAGAACTGAACTAGAACTGAACTAGAACTGAACTAGAACTGGAACTAGAACTGACTAGAACTGAACTAGAACTGAACTAGAACTGAACTAGAACTGAACTAGAACTTAACTAGAACTGAACTAGAACTGAACTAGAACTGAACTAGAACTGAACTAGAACTGAACTAGAACTGAACTAGAACTGAACTAGAACTGAACTAGAACTGAACTATAACTGAACTAGAACTGAACTAGACTGAACTAGAACTGAACTAGAACTGAACTAGAACTGAACTAGAACTGAACTAGAACTGAACTAGAACTGAACTAGAACTGAACTAGAACTGAACTAGAACTGAACTAGAACTGAACTAGAACTGAACTAGAACTGAACTAGAACTGAACTAGAACTGAACTAGAACTGAACTAGAACTGAACTAGAACTGAACTAAACTGAACTAGAACTGAACTAGAACTGAACTAGAACTGAACTAGAAACTGAACTAGAACTGAACTAGAACTGAACTAGAACTGAACTAGAACTGAACTAGAACTGAACTAGAACTGAACTAGAACTGAACTAGAACTGAACTAGAACTGAACTAGAACTGACTAGAACTGAACTAGAACTGAACTAGAACTGAACTAGAACTGAACTAGAACTGAACTAGAACTGAACTAGAACTGAAACTAGAACTGAACTAGAAACTGAACTAGAACTGAACTAGAACTGAACTAGAACTGAACTAGAACTGAACTAGAACTGAACTAGAACTGAACTAGAACTGAACTAGAACTGAACTAGAACTGAACTAGAACTGAACTAGAACTGAACTAGAACTGAACTAGAACTGAACTAGAACTAGAACTGAACTAGAACTGAACTAGAACTGAACTAGAACTGAAACTAGAACTGAACTAGAACTGAACTAGACTGAACTAGAACTGAACTAGAACTGAACTAGAACTGAACTAGAACTGAACTAGAACTGAACTAGAACTGAACTAGAACTGAACTAGAACTGAACTAGAACTGAACTAGAACTGAACTAGAACTGAACTAGAACTGAACTAGAACTGAACTAGAACTGAACTAGAACTGAACTAGAACTGAACTAGAACTGAACTAGAACTGAACTAGAACTGAACTAGAACTGAACTAGAACTGAACTAGAACTGAACTAGAACTGACTAGAACTGAACTAGAACTGAACTAGAACTGAACTAGAACTGAACTAGAACTGAACTAGAACTGAACTAGAACTGAACTAGAACTGAACTAGAACTGAACTAGAACTGAACTAGAACTGAACTAGAACTGAACTAGAACTGAACTAGAACTGAACTAGAACTGAACTAGAACTGAACTAGAACTGAACTAGAACTGAACTAGAACTGAACTAGAACTGAACTAGAACTGAACTAGAACTGAACTAGAACTGAACTAGAACTGAACTAGAACTGAACTAGAACTGAACTAGAACTGAACTAGAACTGAACTAGAACTGAACTAGAACTGAACTAGAACTGAACTAGAACTGAACTAGAACTGAACTAGAACTGAACTAGAACTGAACTAGAACTGAACTAGAACTGAACTAGAACTGAACTAGAACTGAACTAGAACTAGGAACTAGAACTGAACTAGAACTGAACTAGAACTGAACTAGAACTGAATTAGAACTGAACTGGAACTGAACTAGAACTAGAACTAAACTAGAATTGAATTGGCTTCTAAATTATAAAAGTTGTACTTACATTATCCAATTAGTAATGTTTCAATTCGAATCTGAAATAGAATAGAAAAAACATTAAATTTAATTTTGGATTATATAATATTTCAAATATTAATTTAGTGTCGATTTTTAAGATATAGAGCCTTAAACTATATAGCCTCATGTAATGAGGAAAAATGTCAAAAGCTTTCACAGCAAAATATAGGTCTATTATCTAAATAAAACTATAGGTTACATCAAATGTTGTTTTGATGCTACGCCCATTTTTTTAAACTAGTTATTATCCAAATTTTTTTCAGTGGCCTTAAAGTTGACGTCAAATTTGTATCTCTAGTGCTTCTAATAGTTTTTATTCAACCATTTATATTTGACTTAATGATTGAATTAATATGTTATTTAACATATCACAAGTAATCTATAGTGTAGGCAGTTGCCATCTAGGCAATTTGTTTTTAACTTGAGTAAACACTCTTTTAAAGCACTGCTTTGAATTAATCATCATAAACCAAAAATGGTTTTAAGTTTTTATACTTAGTTAATCCTTTTCACTTTTTTCTCCACACGTATTTTTCATTTTTCTCTCATTCTTTCTTCATTTCACCTTTAATCTTTAAACCAGAAATTGTAAGTAAAAGTCTACTTACATTTGTATATGTTTACAGAGTTATAAATACTTGGATATTAAGGGCGTTCAAAAAAACAGTTTGAAGTTAGTAAGTAATGCAAATTTTACACAGAATATTAGTTTTTCGATTAGGACTCGTAATTAGAAATTAAAGGGGGAAGGCTGTCCTTTATTTCAATTCATTTAAATTGGCATATCTAAAATATTTAGTTTACCACCCTAATATTTATGCACGTTTTCGTGCATTCATTTATCAACATGACAAAGTTGTATCTAAATATGAGTTTATAATGTTATTTTTCTTTCTTTTCTTTTCATGACTAAGCGATAATACACAGCAAACACAACTAAAGAAATTTGGAAATAACCGATGATTTACAAATACAAAGGACGATATCCTTATGTTTACTGGGTATGTTATTTTATTTGTGTAAGTTTAAAAAATTGTTTCTTTGTCTGGGTAAGTTAACTAAACAACAAGTTTTATGTATATATATATACAATGTATATTATACATATGTATGTATCACAAAGTTTTTATAAGGATTGGATTATGTCTGTTTTTTGTTAATTCTTAGGATAGAGCATGTTATCGTTGTTGTTCAGATCTGCACTCGGCAAACCAACAAACTACTTAGTTGCTAAACATTTGATATTCTCTGACATGTACATTAAAAGAATTGAAATGTTTGTTGGGAAATTCATCCATAAACGTTCATGTTTTTGAGTTGAAAACACATAAGGAATCAACTCTCTTTTGCTATTGTGTAAAGGAAAATATTGTTAAACATGTTTTGGTTGTTTTTGTATACAAAATTATAAAATTACCGGTGTTTTCACCCTCGAGTGTATTTTGCTTAAGTTAACGAGCATCTAAATAGGAGAATCAGTTAAATGATTATAAAGTCTCCTACGCACTTTACAATCGGCAACTAAATATGTGCTAAAGTTCTGGAATTAAATGCAACTTTTTCTAACTAACTAATGTAACTAACTAACTAACTAACTACTAACTAACTAACTAACTAACTAACTAACTAAACTAACTAACTAACTAACTAACTACTAACTAACTAACTAACTAACTAACTACTAACTAACTAACTAACTAACTAACTAACTACTAACTAACTAACTAACTAACTAACTAACTAACTAACTAACTAACTAACTACTAACTAACTAACTAACTAACTAACTAACTAACTAACTAACTACTAACTAACTAACTAACTAACTAACTAACTCACTAACTAACTAACTAACTAACTACTAACTAACTAACTAACTAACTAACTAACTAACTAACTAACTAACTAACTACTAACTAACTAACTAACTAACTAACTAACTACTAACTAACTAACTAACTAACTAACTACTAACTAACTAACTAACTAACTAACTAACTAACTAACTACTAACTAACTAACTAACTAACTAACTAACTAACTAACTAACTAACTACTAACTAACTAACTAACTAACTAACTAACTAACTAACTAACTAACTAACTAACTAACTAACTAACTAACTAACTAACTAACTAACTACTAACTACAACTAACTAACTAACTAACCTAACTAACTAACTAACTAACTAACTAACTAACTAACTAACTAACTAACTAACTAACTAACTAACTACTAACTAACTACTAACTAACTACTAACTAACTACTAAACTAACTAACTAACTAACTAACTAACTAACTAACTAACTAACTAACTAACTAACTAACTAACTAACTAACTACTAACTAACTAACTAACTAACTAACTAACGAACTAACTAACTAACTAACTAACTAACTAACTAACTACTACTAACTAACTAACTAACTAACTAACTAACTAACTACTAACTAACTACGACTAACTAACTAACTAACTAACTAACTAACTAACTAACTAACTAACTAACTAACTAACTAACTAACTAACTAACTAACTAACTAACTACTACTAACTAACTAACTAACTAACTAACTAACTACCTAACTAACACTTAACTAACTACTAACTAACTAACTAACTAACTAACTACTACTAACTACTAACTAACTAACTAACTAACTAACTAACTAACTAACTAACTAACTAACGTAACTAACTACTAACTACTGAACTAACTAACACTAACTAACTAACTAACTAACTAACTAACTAACTAACTAACTAACTAACTAACTAACTAACTAACTAACTACTACTAACTAACTAACTAACTAACTAACTAACTAACTAACTAACTAACTAACTAACTAACTAACTAACTAACTAACTAAACTAACTAACTAACTAACTAACAACTAACTAACTAACTAAACTAACGAACTAACTAACTAACTAACGAACTAACTAACTAACTAACTAACGAACTAACTAACTAACTAACTAACTAACTAACGAACTAACTAACTAACTAACTAACTAACTAACTAACTAACTAACTAACTAACAGGCGATTTGGACCATAATTTTTCAACCTATTATTGTAACTTATTTTAATTTGTTACTGAATCCTTGTGTAATGTTTTAAAATCTCATAATACTATTTACAAACAAATTTCAAATAAAAAGTTTTTTTATTTTATGCCAATTAAATACGCCTTCTAATAAGAACTTTATAAAAAAGCCGAAAATATACCCAAATGAAACTTTGCAGTTTTTACGCCCTCATATATACACATAGTTCTAAACAAGTAGCGCATTTTTTTCATTTTCTGAAAATAACGACCAATTATATATTTCATAGATCTTTCTTCTGCTCAACGCCTTTGCAAAAAATATATATAAAATTATATTATACAAAATTTTGGCACAAAAACAAATTGCCTTAAAAAAAGATGAAAGCGAAAAAAAAAAAACAGAAAAGATAAATATTTATATTTATTTATATTACAAAATAAATATAAAATTATTTTGTTCAAGAACAAGTTTTTACAAACAAAATTTATTTGTTTCTTTTCTTGATACAGTCAAACTCTACCAGTACTTTGACAAAAGGCAAATAAATGTTGACAAATTGCATTTCATTTATTAAATTTGTTCTCTCTCAACATTTTCTGTTGCGTCCTTTTTACTTCCGCTTTTCTTAGGAGAATAAGTTAATTTTTTTGTTTTGGGTGTGGGTTTCATTTTGTGATGTCGTTTATTTTGTATTCTATTACTCAATGTTGGTAAAAGGAAAAAACGAAAAAAGAAATCGTTTCCATATCAAAAAAATGTCAAGCGTGACTGACATAAGTATAGTATGAGTAACATACACAGATAGATAGGAAATGTTTCACACACAGTTCCTTGCTAGCCCAGCAAACATAAAGACCAGCGTTTGAAATATTAAAAACTTTTCCTTTTAATATTAAAAGTTATTACAAGCTTCTTATACAATCTGTTCTAGTTTAGTTCTAGTTCAGTGCTAGTTCAGTTCTAGTTCAGTTCTAGTTCAGTTCTAGTTCAGTTCTAGTTCAGTTCTAGTTCAGTTCTAGTTCAGTTCTAGTTCAGTTCTAGTTCAGTTCTAGTTCAGTTCTAGTTCAGTTCTAGTTCAGTTCTAGTTCAGTTCTAGTTCAGTTCTAGTTCGGATCTAGTTCGGTTCTAGTTCAGTTCTAGTTCAGTTCTAGTTCGGATCTAGTTCGGTTCTAGTTCGGTTCTAGTTAGTTCTAGTTCAGTTCTAGTTCAGTTCTAGTTCAGCTCTAGTTCAGTTCTAGTTCAGTTCTAGTTCAGTTCTAGTTCAGTTCTAGTTCAGTTCTAGTTCAGTTCTAGTTCAGTTCTAGTTCAGTTCTAGTTCAGTTCTAATTCAGTTCTAATTCAGTTCTAGTTCAGTTCTAGTTTCAGTCTAGTTCAGTTCTAGTTCAGTTCTAGTTCATTTCTAGTTCAGTTCTAGTTGAGTTCTAGTTCAGTTCTAGTTCGGTTCTAGTTCGGTTCTAGTTTAGTTTAGTTCTAATTGAGTTCTAGTTCAGTTCTAGTTCAGTTCTAGTTCAGTTCTAGTTCAGTTCTAGTTCAGTTCTAGTTCAGTTCTAGTTCAGTTCTAGTTCAGTTCTAGTTCAGTTCTAGTTCAGTTCTAGTTCAGTTCTAGTTCAGTTCTAGTTCAGTTCTTGTTCAGTTCTAGTTCAGTTCTAGTTCAGTTCTAGTTCAGTTCTAGTTCAGTTCTAGTTCAGTTCTAGTTCAGTTCTAGTTCAGTCTAGTTCAGTTCTAGTTCAGTTCTAGTTCAGTTCTAGTTCAGTTCTAGTTCAGTTCTAGTTCAGTTCTAGTTCAGTTCTAGTTCAGTTCTAGTTCAGTTCTAGTTCAGTTCTAGTTCAGTTCTAGTTCAGTTCTAGTTCAGTTCTAGTTCAGTTCTAGTTCAGTTCTAGTTCAGTTCTAGTTCAGTTCTAGTTCAGTTCTAGTTCAGTTCTAGTTCAGTTCTAGTTCAGTTCTAGTTCTTCTAG